GAATGGAGGTCGCACATTTAAGGCAGAAACGAGGTAAAATTTATTCTCTCAGATGGTTGTGAATCGGTGGATTCCTTTGCAGCAGAGGCTTGTCGAGCCTGAGCCATTAAATATATTTAAGGCTGAGATCGAAAGATTTTTAGCAGCAAGCGTATCAAAGGTTATGGAGAAATCCAAGAAAGTGCAGTTCAGGATTAGCAGATCAGGATGATCCGCTCATTTAATAGCGGAGCAGACTTGATGGGCTGAGTTTTCTCTTTCTACTCCTAAAATGCATGATGTTAATATAAGGCTGCATAACTGACCGGAGTAAAATTTGCCAACTTAAAAATGTCTGGATCCCATCACGGCACTGAACTGAGGTGAGATGTGCAAAGGGCAGCAAACAAGGGGACAGTCATTGTGGTTGTTTATTCCAGATGGATCTGTATACCAGGGTAAACAGGAAAAAACAGTCTTCAGTGCCCACATTGAGCCTGGCTCCATTAGGCCTACAGTCAAGTCTCACAAACCACCACTGCCCTTCACTTTTCCTGACCTCCCCTGTTCTTGTCTTAAACAAATTGCACGTCAGGCAATTGCAGCTGACATTGCTGATGTCGAACTGTAATGTGGAGTGAAGCGATACTGACTGGTCCACGACATAATTCTGCTTCGAAAGATCAGTAAATGTTTCATATTTATTATGTAAATTTTAACCATGAACACGCATGGCAGTGAAGACACTGAATCCTAATCAGTAGACTACGAGGGAAGACTTCTATCTGTATCACCCTGGTCACTGTCTGATTCAGCATTGCATCTCTCATCCTTCTGCACATGAACCCTCGGCTCTATCTCGGTTTTATCACATTGTCTTGGTTTATAACGCACAGACTATCCCATCATCTGTTATATTGCAGTTTCTAATGCATGAAACCCTACCTTACAGGGCACAGTCTTCGCTCTGTAGCGCAGTATTGAAAGCAATGGTCTTGTCAAGCAGCGGTCATGAGTTTACTTCTAACTAGAGCATATGAGAATGTTTGTACAGCTGCTGCATCCAACATCCAAAGGAGCACTTTCAATATCGTCTGAAATTATGACAATGTTATTTCGTCCACAGGCCAGCAGTTAGGTGAGGTGAGGTATTATAAACTGCAGATTGACAAGGAAACAATGGGGGAACCAAACCTAGAGGGGAGTGGCCGAATGCTTTTTCCCTTTGCTGTAATCAGATTCTGGTTTTGAAGTGTGAAATGGGACAATATAACCCAAATGGGTGAAATCCTACTTTCTGGGCGTTGGTCTTTGCTGAGGCCTCTGTCACCTTCTGAGAAATGTGTCTATGTGTTACCCTCTGAGGGTGCAAAATGTGATCCAGTTCCCCAAGGGAACGTGAACATCTCAAACGGCCGGTCCATCGCCTCGTAGCACACAAGGCTATGGGCAAAGGCTGGAAACTGGGACGTTGAGCCTCTTTCTGTGCTGTAAAAACACGATGATTCAATCATTTTGGAGGAGAAACACCTGTCGTAGAAAGAAACTGTCAGAAGCTGTGTCATGAAGAAACGATACACATATCCCTACCACCCTCCCTGGTGGTCTCGTGGTTAGGATTCGGTGCTTTTACCACCGCAGCCTGGGTTCAATTCCCAGTCAGGGGAAGCAGGTTTTATTGTTCCTGATGGTGGCAACAGCAAAAGTAGCGCAGCTATGTCCACAATCCTTTCAATGTTGGTTAATGTCCCCGAGAACATCAGAGTCCATATTACAGCTGCTTAAAGAGGGGAAAGCTGCCTTTGTGTTGTTAGCAGGGACATGAGCAGCAATAGTAACATTCACAAGATAAACAACCAGCAAAGATAATCACCGTCGCTACTTCAATTCAATTGTCTCCCCTTTGTGATGTGGTGAGTTTCACTGTCATTTGTAGTCTGGAAGCTGCAATTCACCCTATCGAGTCTGCTCAGCCATTCAATGAGATCGCTGCTGATCTGATAAATCTCAACTCCGCTTTCCTGCTTTCCCTCCTTAACGGGAGGTAAACTCGAGCCTAATCACAACATCGTATATTACCATTATTTTTCGGAAGTTTAGATTACTTCAATGACCTGTGCATGTTTGCATGAAATTGAACAATATGA